CGCTAACTGCTGTAGCTGCGCAGCTAAATAGGTTAGCGTCTGGTCATGTGTAGAGTTTGCATGATGAGCCTCGGTGGCCAGGGAGGCTATCGAGGCTTCCTGCCTCTGGAGAGCGTCCTCAACTCTTTATATGCAGAATTCTCTAAATACAGAACACCATAAAAGAGGAGTGTGCTTTAGACAAAGCACTATGGTGTGTAGTTGGCTGGACAAAGTGTCTTGTACTATAAATAAAGTGTGTGCCATTTGGTGGAGAACTTTGGTTTTGGTAAGTGTTTCTGTAGTTTTGGGTGCAGTGCTTCAGTTTGCAGTATATATGAGGTGTTTTGCACTTTGTGTGTTTTGTGAATTGTGTTTATTGGTTTGAGAAAATAAGCCCTGCTTTAAAAACAATATGGTCAGCATCAAAAGAACCACATTGTCACCAACACTTCTGTGGACTGTGCATCTGTTCACTCTTCACCTCTGGTGTTATGAAGAGAGGAATCAGAGTCTTCCACGTGAACTGGTGGATGAATGATGGATCCTCCACATATCATGCCAATCTTCATCTGGTGTTTCTATATGGAGTTCTTCCTCCCATCTAACCTCGAAATATTTAGTTGAGTGTTTGTCATGTTTTGCTAAATCCTTGATATAATGCTGAAATGATTCTTATGTTTCTTTCCTGATATGCTTTAGTTATAATTTGGATGATATTATTCAACTCCTTGGAAGAATCTGATGTGACTCCCCTCTTGTAACAGTCCCTTAGTTGAAGGTATCTATAGAAGTCATGTGTTCCCAATGTGTGTTTTCTTCTCAGATGATCAAAACCCTCCAGCTCCCCTTCCTTAACCAAAACACACCAAGCTGTTATTCCTTTCTCTACCCATTGTTTAAAACCTTGATCTTATTTTGCAGGTTTGAAGTTTCCATCATAAGCTCCCCATTTTATTATATTTGCATCATTTTGAATCTTATCTATGTTCAATACTTTAAACCATAGATCCAATGTGTGCACTGTTATTGGACCCATTTTGGTTCTGAGTTCCTTATATAGTTTATAATCCCCACTCATATTTAGAATTGGAATCTGGTTTACTTCATTTTCCATATGCTTCCACTTTGCTCTAAACTCCGTTTCACAGCAACAGTAAATGGGTCTTAGCTGAGCAGCAGCAGTACTCCATCAATCTGAGCAAACCCATACCGCCTCTTTCTTTGGGTAGCTGGAGAGTTCTGGACCTAACTCTTGGCCTCTCCCCCCCCCCCCCCCCCCCCAAACAAATCTGGATATCGGTCTGTCCCAATTTCTAAATGGACCTTGGGGGCCCTCTACTGGTGAAGATTGGAATAGATAGAGAAATCTAGGTAGAACATTTAGTTTAACGATTTGAATTCTTGAGTTTAGGTCGAGTGGTAAGGTAGACCACCTTGTTATATCTTTTTGTATTTCTTGGTTTGAATTGTCGTAATTCGCTCTTTACAAATCAGAGATGTTTTTAGCACAATGTACATTTTACATTTATATTTAATTTAATATTCCATTCCTTACACACTTAATGGATATAATATCCTGCTTTATATTTGGTAAATTGGTATTTCAAAATGTATATTTTCTTCTTTTTTAATGCTGTTTTATTTCAGTTTTGAGATGTTTACATTTTAGAAGTGTTTATTTCTACTCTTTTCATTTCTCTCATGTGCAATGCCTTGTCTTTTATGCTGCTACAACGCAATCATTTCCCAGATTGGGATCAATAAAGTGCATCTCATCTTATGCATTGGAAGCTATCTGTTAGCCGCGCATGCTAACAGGCCTCAGATAAACTCGTTGAGACTGTATTGTTATTATTATTATTGTACATTTACATTTAACTTTTTTATCTTCATATTAATATTTTTATTTTATTTATCTTATTTAATTATTTTTTTTATAAATGTATTCTGCCACAAAACCAATTCTTCCCTCAGGATAAGTATTTTAATGATGTCTGTATGTATCCTCTCTCTGATAGAGATCAGCCGTTCTCTTGTATGGAATGTTCAACCCGGTATCACGGCAAGACGTGAACATGTGACGATCTACCACGCTGGGAGACGTGAATATGTCACGGTTTCGTCCCTTCAAACGTGACAGTTACACGGTATTGTTAACATGGCCCAACCAGTGGAGAAATACCCGGAAGTGCCAAGCAAATGCTCTACCAAGACTATTGGTCGGTTTTTATTGTCAAAATTAGATGTTTTTTAATTAATTTTTTAATCGTCACACTCGATTTCGCCGATTTTCTTGTTGCCCGAGCTGGTCGACACCTCTTTTAGCAGAAACAAAGGCTACATTAATGTATTAAATCCATGTTAATCCATGTGTGTGGAGCATAGACTGTGGGTGTTTCTCAATCGCGAGTAAAGCTGCTCCAGAGCCACTATTTCAAGCATACTACGTCATCGAGTGCCGCCGAAGTACTGTTCCAATCTCCAGCATACTTGGAATTCTACCGAGCCCGGCGTACTCCGTTTGGAGAAATATCGAGGCTGCACATGAGTAGACTCCGCGGTCTTAAAATCCCCACAATGCTTTGCGCACGGACCAATTTCCCCAAATCTGTGACGGAAAATGTAAGGCGGGGCCTCTCATATGACGCACACCTGCACACTTGCTAGCTTGTTCCACTCTTTGTTTTCCGAATGCCAGGAAGTATTCTTGCCTCGCTTCTGAAGCAAGATGCTCGGCAGACATGTGCTACCAAGCAAGCGTACTCGCGATTGAAAAACACCCTGTATATGGTGTGGAGGTGTGGATGTGGAATTAACGGACGTGACGTTGTGCGATTGCGTTGCCAGGCAACTTCAACTTCAACCCTAATTATATTTTAAAACATTTTAGAAGGCCTCACGAAATACTTTAATGTACATTAAAATGTAAATGTGAAGGGATGTGTGTAATGTGGTGATTGACATTATTCACCCACGGATCTATGGGTTGGGGGTATTGTTCCGCACGGACATTTTAGTTAACCGGACTCCTGTTGATGTGAAGTAAAACATGTGAAATAATATAGCAATATCCTGTACAATTATGTGAAAACATGAATAAAACTACACATCTTCAGATGTTATACATACACAAGTGTCCTACACTAATAATACAAAGTTATTATGGCTGTGTGTACCTTGTGTGCACCGCCTAGTGGTTAAAGCACGTTATTGAATTAGTTGTGTATATGATATGTCAATGAACCTTAGTTGAAGAGTTTGTAAATTGCGTTGCCTGGCAACGCAATCGCACAACGTCACGTCCGTTAATTCCACATCCACACCTCCACACACATTGATTAACATCGATTTAATACATTAATGTAGCCTTTGTTTCTGCTAAAAGAGGTGTCGACCAGCTAGGGCAACAAGAAAATCGGCGAAATCGAGTGTGACGATTAAAATATAAATTTAAAACATCTAATTTTGACAATAAAAACCGACCAATAGGCGCGGTAGACCATTTGCTTGGCACTTCCGGGTATTTCTCCACTGGTTGGGCCATGTTAACAATACCGTGTAACTGGGTGTTTCTCAATGTCGAGTAAAGCTGCTTCAGAGCCACTATTTCAAGCATACTACGTCATCGAGTGCCGCCGAAGTACTGTTCCAATCTCCAGCATACTTGGAAATCTACCGAGCCCGGCGTACTCCGTTTGGAGAAATATCGAGGCTGCACATGAGTAGACTCCGCGGTCTTAAAATCCCCACAATGCTTTGCGCACAGACCAATTTCCCCAAATCTGTGACGGAAGATGTAAGAGGCGGGGCCTCTCATATGACGGACACCTGCACACTTGCTAGCGTGTTCCACTCTTCGTTTTCCGAATGCCAGGAAGTATTCTTGCCTCGCTTCTGAAGCAAAATGCTCGGCAGACATGTGCTACCAAGCAAGCGTACTCGCGATTGAGAAACACCCTCTGTCACGTTTGAAGGGACGAAACCGTGACATATTCACGTCTCCCAGCATGGTAGATCGTCACATGTTCACGTCTTGCCGTGATACCGGGTTGGGAATGTTCCAGCTTGTATTGCCCCCATGTGTTGCTGTAGCTCCGCCCCTTGATGGCACTGTTTGTTTCTTCTGTAACGTTCGACAAAAGGGAGTCGGAAACAGGCTTCCAGTGATTGGGTTTAATAACTCCTTTGTTCGCTTACGGTTATAGTATACAGCTCAGGTTACAGGTTACAGGTTTATCATTACTCTCTACTCCACTCCCTAACTCACACACACAGCAGGGTCAACGTCACGACTCCCCAGCCCTCCCCCCTCTGCTCCCCCAACCACAGGCCCGCACACCGACCAGCATTACTGTGCAGCTCTGTGATTGGCAGAGAGACGGGGGACGCCTGAGTGACACACCCAGCACCCTATGCAGGGTCGCTACACTTCCCCATGATCTCTATAAAGTTTATTAAAAACTACAACCCCCATGATGCATTAGCTGTTATCCTTGCTAACAGAGACACACTTGTTGAGACTGTAAGGAGTCAGAGAGACTTTTAAAACTCATGCAGAGTTAGGCTGTGGACAAACTGTCCAAAAATCAGCTCCTCTCGTCTTTTCGTCTTGGTTAGGAAAAGACGAGAGGAGCTGATTTTTGGACGATTCGACCGGAAACCAGGGTTTCTTGTGTACCCCCAGCTAACATGCTAACGGAGAGCCTGAAACACAACTTCCGGTGCTGGCCTTCACAATAAAACCCACGGTTTTCTCTCTTCACCTTTCTCTTCTTACAAATATTATATTACAGGAAGAGGGGGGAATACTTATAATATAGATAAAGGTGTTTCAGGAGAAATAAACCGGGTTCTCTCCGCAGCTCCATGTCTGTGTATCTTAAAGGTTTAGGTATTGTCTAAGGGGAAATCATAGCCGCTTTTATTTTGAAGTCCCTGCACCGGAAGTGATGGTCCCGCTCTTTCCAACTTGGAACCAGATCGCGTCTCGTCGGTTCTCTCTCTTCATCCATGGTTCTCTCTCTACATCCATGGTTCTCTCTCTACATCCATGGTTCTCTCGCTACATCCATGGTTCTCTCTCGGTGTTCCTGAGACAGTCTGTGTGAGCAGCTGATCCATCGTCTGTGTCTCTGGATGAACCTCTGACTTTGTGCTCTTTCTTCTGAAGCCTTTAGCTCGGACTCTAGAAGCTAGCTTAGCATGCTAGCTGGTAACACGCTAGCAACACAGAGTGAGAGAAACAGGAAGTGGTGATTTAGTAAACATGAGTGTTGTGCTGCTCTCGTTGGTGAAGCAGCGACTCACTGCGGCTGCTGAAGACATCTTTGTTCTGTTTGAAAGAACGATAGCAGAGTACGAGGAGGAACTGTCTCGTTCAAAACAGGAGAACGAGAGACACCGGAAACTACTGGACGCTGTTTTACAGCCTCAGCTTCAGATCCACAGAACAGGTCTGTTCCCTTTTTAAAGCTGTAATCTGTAACCACTATTTCCGTAAAAAAGCCTCGAACCTCGTGCGTCAATACATTTTATTACAGAGGGCGTTGTTACCGTTTAACTGGTGACGCGGGGGAACTCGTGACGTTCTATAAAATACATATACACATTTCGATCGCTTCTTCTGTCGTTTACATTAATCTTTTGGTATATTTGGCTGGATAGGAACACTTTGATGCACATTCAGTACCAGTGAGGTTGTGGTTGCGATGCCGATATCCGGACGCGTACAGCGAGGACTACAAAATGACAATGAGGTGACTGGGGATGTCTGTTCAAACCATTGCACGCTTGAATAAATCATTTAAACCAGTTATTTTTGCCAGACTTATTGCTGAATATCGTTCTTAATGTGATACCAAGTCCATCTGAGACCCGTGTACACCTTCAGACAGCCTCCAAGTGAAGCACACGTTGTTTACTCACAGTTTGAAAGCAGCGTGGAGAAGTCTTCAGCTGAGCTGTGATCCGCCCAGTTTAACTTGTGATACGACTTCTGTTCTGTGGCTATCAACCAGCGATCATGTTTAATATTAAAGACTACACACATGTATCCCTTATCAAAACGGTATTCTGCACTTTGCAGCACTTATCCAGATAAGATGTGACTGTTTACTCGTTTTGCAAAGACAGCAGCAGAAATGTCATTCTGCATGTGTAGGGATATTTAGACTGTAAAATGCTGCTTGGTCATTCATTTTGGTCTCCGCAAACAATATTATGAATCCTCTATTCAAACATATAATTCAGTGTCCATCAACATGAAAATAACTAAAAAGTTCATGCTGGACTCAAACCCGAGTCCCAACAGCAAAAATCACTCTAGACCTGCGCGTTGTGAGTGAGCCACGAATCATTACGACATATTTGTTCATCACAGCTGAATTTTTACACATTAACATTGTTAAAAGATTCAGAAAAATGCAAGCCAACCATCATTTATAATGCGAGCGAATGTATGTACACTTAAGCCATATAATAGCTGTATCGATGCATAACGAAAGTTAACCAAGTAAACAGTCACATCTTATCTGGATAAGTGCTGCAAAGTGCAGGATACCGTTTTGATAAGGGATACATGTGTGTAGTCTTTAATATTAAACATGATCGCTGGTTGATAGCCACAGAACAGAAGTCGTATCACAAGTTAAACTGGGCGGATCACAGCTCAGCTGAAGACTTCTCCACGCTGCTTTCAAACTGTGAGTAAACAACGTGTGCTTCACTTGGAGGCTGTCTGAAGGTGTACACAGGTCTCAGATGGACTTGGTATCACATTAAGAACGATATTCAGCAATAAGTCTGGCAACAATAACTGGTTTAAATGATTTATTGGAGCTCGCAATGGTTTGAACACACATCCCCAGTCAGCTCATGTGTCTTTTTATAGTCCTCGCTGTACGCGTCCGGATATCGGCATCGCAACCACAACCTCACACACTGGTACTGAATGTGCATCAAAGTGTTCCTATCCAGCCAAATATACCAAAAGATTAATGTAAACGACAGAAGAAGCGATCGAAATGTGTATATGTATTTTATAGAACGTCACGAGTTCCCCCGCGTCACCAGTTAAACGGTAACAGCGTTGCCCGTACATTTATGATTGGTTGAGACTAGTTTGGGAGGACCGTGGTTTAGACTTTGGTGCACAGACTGACTCCTCGATTCCACCGGGGTTGCGGTCGAATAGTCCAAAAATCAGCTCCTAAGTTCTATCCCTATCGTCTATTCCTTGACCTCTGAGTGAAAGGTCACAGGGTTAAGGGATAGTGGATAGGAGAATTCAAAAGGACTTAGGAGAAGAGACTGCGGTACTTTAGAGAATCGACTGCACGTTCACTATCCGACGTGTTTATGATGCGGTCCACATTAATACAAATGATCCCAATACGTATGACTGTATGAAAAGATCTTCAAATCAATACAAATGTATTTATTATAAACGTTAGTCCTTAACATCTATCACTGTGTATATCACCATTCAAACATCTTTTAAAAGTTGAACAAACCCCAAAAGTCAGCACACTCAGCACCACACACACACACACACACACACACACACACACACACACACACACACACACACACACACACACACACACACACACACACACCACACACACACACACACACACACACACACACACACACACACACTTTGTATTGTATGAGAGAGGTTCCAGGTTGTTGTGTTTAATATTCATGAGAATATTTGTCATTGTTCAAATGATAATAAACAAACATATAAAGCATATTTGTCCACTCATATGTTGATAAGAGTATTAAAAACTTGAAAAATATCCCTCTAAGGTACATTTAGAACAGATAGAAAATGTGCGATTAATTTGCGGTTAACTATGGACATCATGCGCCGAAACTCGGTTCTCATCTGGAACCCTAGTCTTATGTAATATTCAATGCTTTGTTTTGTCTTTTCATTAGCTGTAAGCTGCAATCATCAAGATTAAAACGCTGGAAATAATCACTTTGTGTCTGATGAATCTATGTAATGTATAAGTTTAAACTTTATAAATTGAATTACTGATATAAACTCACTTTTCCATGATATTCAATTTATTGAGATGCACCTGTATGAGTCCAAGTACAGGTTTAGCAAGGCGGTGAGAGATGCTAAACGACTACTCTGAGAAACTCCAACACCAGTTCTCAGCTAACGACTCTGCAGACAGGTCACAAACTGTAAGGCTAAGGCCTCACACTCCGTGAACGGCCGACGCCTTGCTAAGCGGCAGTGAAACTACGTTTTAGATCAGCTACCGTACTAACTCACCTGTTGTCCTGAAACTCTCCAGGGCATCTGGAAAAAAGGTGTAATTGACAGACAATCGAGCCAACAGAAATACACAGTGGGCGGAACACACTCAGCACGGATAGTGCGCGCAACATGATTGCAGCGTCCAGGCAGCTCCCGCTGCACATAGCTCCAACGATCCATCACAGTGTCTACACACACACACACACACACACACACACACACACACACACACACACACACACACACACACACACACACACACACACTATTGTATTATTGTATGAGAGAGGTTCCAGGTTGTTGTGTTTAATATTCATGAGAATATAAAATAAGGAATGGATAAGGGCTGCAAAGTTAATGAAGTGTTACTCGTGGTTAGATTTTAAATTCTAATACTCTAGAGTTTCTCTGAATGTGTGTTTCCTGTTTCCTGCAGACGTCCAGCAGCTGGTGGTGGTTAAAGAAGAGGTTCCCCCTGAGCAGCAGGAGTGGAGCTCCAGTCTGGACCAGGAGGACCCAGAGCCCCCCCCACACATTAAAGAGGAGCAGGAGGAACTCTGGAGCAGTCAGGAGGGAGAGCAGCTTCAAGGGCTGGAGGAGGCTGATATCACCAAGTCCACATTCACTCCTGTCCCTGTGAAGAGTGAAGATGATGAAGAGAAACCTCAGTCCTCTCAGCTTCATCAAAGACAAACTGAACACATGGAAACAGAAGCTGATGGAGAGGACTGTGGAGGACCAGAACCAGCCAGGAACTCAGATCCAGAGAGACATTTACAACCAGAGACTGAGGACAAACCTGGAGACTCTTCTGAACCTGACACTGAAGGCAGTGCTGATTGGAAGGAGACCAGAGAACCAGGTTCAAACTCTCAGAGAAATAAACAAGACCATGTCAGTGATTCAAGACGTAGTGCAGGAGAGAAAACATTCAGCTGCTCAGTCTGTGAGAAATATTTTGCAGAGAGAGGTTTACAGAGACACATGAGAATCCACACAGGAGAGAAACCATTCAGCTGCTCAGTCTGTGAGAAATATTTTACACAGAGTGGAGATTTAAATAGACACATGAGAAACCACACAGGAGAGAAACCATTCAGCTGCAGTTTTTGTGACAAAATATTCACCTGGAGTCATCAGGTCAAAAGCCATAAGTGTGTTAGTCGTCAGTCCTCACCGCTTCATCAAACTCAAACTGAGGAGAACAGAGAGGCAGAGCCTCCAGCCAGCAGCTCAGCTGAACACCTGGAAACAGAACCTGATGGAGAGGACTGTGGAGGACGAGAACCAGCCAGGAACTCAGATCCAGAGAGACATTTACAACCAGAGACTGAGGACAACCCTGGAGACTCTTCTGAACCTGACATTTTCCAAGTCAAATCTGCATGTGCAACAAAAAAAGAGGGCAATTAATTAGTCCTACGACAATTCAGATGAGAAAAATCTGTCTGACTGTATAAAGTCTGTGTGACAATATTCATACATGACTTCATATATACTCCATCTTTATCAACAGAAGTTTTGAATATGTTTAATGTTTTTGTCATACTACTTTTCTGATTTATACTATAACCACTGACTGATTCATCTGCAGAGTAGTTTCTCTAATAATCTGTTTGGTTAATGAAATGTTGTGACTTGAAACTTCCATTGGGATGTGTTTGATAGTTCCTGTTGAGTTATCAGTCTGTTCTGGTCTAAAAGAAGAACCAATGACTTATTGATATAGAGAATATGTACGATGTTTCCAGTTTGATTCTGTTTATATCATCAAACCAAACTAAAATAATAAAAGCCTTTGAAACAGACTCACATTCCTGCATATTGTTTGTGTTTACAGATTACAATCAGCTCATTTAGAGTTCAATCAATGTTTATTTATATAGCCCAATAGCACAAAGGTTACATTTGTCTCAGTGGACTTCACAGTTTGTACAGAATATCAGTATGACAATACGACCCCCTCTGTCCTTAGACCCTCACATCGTACAAGGAAACACTTCCGGAGAAACCCCACAATAATTATTTAACAAGATTTTTGAAGCCTTGCTGAAGAAACAAATAATTATTTTCAAGCATCCGTTTGTAACTTTTTAGGAATCTGACTATCTTTTAGAATTGCATCAAATGCTATAGCCACTTCTAAGATACGTTTTTTTTTTAAATGTTTTTCTCTCATCCTGCTATATTCCTTCCAGGGACACACAAAACACTGAAACACTGCAACAGTTTGTTAAAATGTAAAAAACACTTTTTTTATTTGCAGAATTTCATATTTACAATTTATTGTTTTCACCCCATAGGAATCAATAATACATGTATACTGATTGCAACATCCCCCGGATCTTCTCCAGCACAGAATCCCCCAGATGAAGGGAAATATTATAATGGAGTTTTTGCACTTCGGCCAAAGTATTCATGTGTATGCTGTTTTTGACACAAAGATGCATTACATCTACAAACAGAGCATACAATGCGAGCACATGATACACTTTTGGTGTTTGTTTCATTTCTTCGGTAATGTTACAGAATGTTTCGGAAAATGAAGATTCCAGTACCACTTTAAATGTTTCGTTTATAATCGTTTCCCAATGACCCGGAATAGTACTGCCAGAATGAACGATATCCAAAATGTCTTCTAGTTTACAAACTTCAGCCGTTCTGTTTACACGGGGATCACTATTCATTCTGTTTTCAATCGTCATCAACAACACACTTATTAAACAGGTATTGACTGCATTCTGATAAATATATACAGATTGTTTTCCATAGTAGTTACCCATTTTTTTTATTTTACTTTAAAGAAAAGTCAAAGTATCGAAAAAAAAAAAAAAAAATCCTGGCTTCTGTTACGAACTCAGACACTTAGGATGTAGGACCCAATTGCACGACCCGGGAGACAGAGGTAAAGTATTAGTAAGATACTTTATTTTCCAAAATACAGCAATGAACAACAAAAAAGGTAACTATCAAATCTCTAACCGAGATGACAAAAATAGAGGAACAAAATGAAAGCGCTCACGTAGTGAGGAATCAAACTTTACAAGAGTACAAAGAGCATAGACCTGACCATAGCAAGAGACAATACGAACTGACAAAGAATACTTGGGAGACAGGGGAATATAAGCACAGGGTAACTAGACACAGGTGGGACCAATCAGGGGCGGGGCTGACATTGATGAGCACAGGAGACACAGATGAAAATAATCAGGAAGCCTGGAATGAGAGAAAGCAAACGTAAATAACATGCATCTCTCTAGCATTTCTGTCGGTGCACAACAGTACCCCCCCCTCTAGGGCCAACTCCTGATGGCCCAGGCTGATTGTAAAAATCGTGGATAAGCGTCTTGTCTACGATAAATGACGCAGCTACCCAGCTTCTAGCCTCAGGACCGTAACCCTTCCAGTCTACCAGGAATTGCTTCCCCCTCCCCCTATTACGGACCTCCAGTAGCTTACGGACCTTGTAAACCTCACCCCCTTCAAAGAACTCGGGCGGTGGAGGGGGCTTGGAGGCGGGAACAAGTGTGCTCTCGCACACCGGCTTGATTTTACTGACGTGAAACGTCGGATGTACTCTCATAGTTCTGGGGAGTTGCAAGCGTACAGACACCGGGTTGATGACTCTGGACACCGGGAAAGGACCCACAAATCTCGGAGCCAGTTTCTTTGAGGCGACATGGAGTGGTAAGTCCTTAGTGGAAAGCCAAACATTTTGGCCTGGTCTGTAGGAGGGAGCGACCCTGCGATGGACGTCTGCAACAGCCTTCATCCGAGCTGAACTTCGGAGAAGAGCCTGGCGAGCACCAGCCCAAACTCGTCGACAACGTCTGATCATGGCATGAGCCGATGGAACCCTCACCTCTTCCTCGTTGTTAGGGAAAAATGGAGGCTGGAAACCATTGACACAATGGAATGGAGAGAGACCTGTGGCTGCCGTAGGAAGAGTATTGTGGGCAAACTCGACCCATGTGAGGTGGTCACTCCAGGTAGTCTGGTTCCGGGAGACGAGACAACGTAGCGTAGTCTCTAGTTCAGACGCTCCGACTGTCCATTTGACTGAGGATGATATCCTGATGACAAGCTGACGGTGGCACCTATGAGTCGACAAAACTCCTTCCAGAAAACGGAAATGAATTGTGGACCCCTGTCGGAAACAATGTCATCAGGGAATCCATGGATCCTGAATATGTGATTCATCATGACCTCTGCGGTGACTTTGGCAGAGGGAAGCTTGGTCAATGGGATGAAGTGAGCCATCTTTGAAAATCGATCCACCACTGTTAGGACCGTAGTCTTGCCTCTGGATGAAGGAAATCCTGTCACAAAATCCATTGAAATGTGTGACCAAGGACGTTGGGGAATCGGCAGGGGCTGGAGCAAGCCCATCTTGACTTGTGATGAGGTCTTATTACACGCACACACCGGACAAGCCGCTACGTACTCTGCCACATCTTTCTTCATGGCTGGCCACCAGAAACGTTGTTGTATCCTGAACATTGTCCTTGTTACCCCCGGATGGCACGAAAGCACAGATGAGTGAGCCCAGTGGATGACCTTGGAGTGAAGAGCCTCAGGAACAAACAGCAGATTGTTGGGACACTCGCTAGGTGCTGGATTCTTGACATTCGCCTTTTTTACGTCCGACTCCACTTGCCAGGAAAAGGCTCCGATCACACGGTTAAGTGGAAGGATGGTCTTGGGCTCTACCGCAAGTGGTTCCGGATCATAAAGACGAGACAAAGCATCGGGTTTTTGATTCTGAGACCCGGGACGAAAAGAGAGGGTGAAATTGAACCTACTAAAGAATAGTGTCCACCTGGCCTGACGGGAGTTGAGACGCTTAGCCTTTCTTATATATTCCAGATTCTTGTGATCTGTCCAGACTAAAAACGGCTGCTCTGCACCCTCTAACCAGTGTCTCCATTCCTCGAGGGCAGCTTTTACAGCTAACAGTTCCTTGTTCCCCACGTCGTAATTCCGCTCTGCCGTTGTCAGTTTCCGCGACAGGTAAGCACATGGATGCATCTTGTTGTCTTCTGCAGAACGTTGAGACAGTACTCCTCCAATTCCCTCATTGGAAGCATCAACCTCGACCATAAACTGGAGCTGGGGATCTGGAATGGTGAGTATGGGGGCTGATGTGAATCTCTCTCTGAGACGTTGGAAAGCGAAGTCCGCCTGGGGAGTCCACTTGAAAGGAACCTTAGGAGAAGTCAGAACATGTAGAGGGGCAGCAACAGAACTGAAATTCCTAATAAACTTCCTATAGAAGTTAGCAAACCCTAGAAACTGTTGGACCTTCTTCCTGGAGTCTGGTGTAGGCCACTGGGATACTGCACTGATTTTAGCCGGATCCATTTGCATATGATTAGGTGAGATTATGTATCCTAAGAAGGATACCTCTTTTGTGTGGAACTCACACTTCTCTGCCTTGACATATAACTGATTCTCTAGCAGTTTCTGCAAAACCTGACGGACATGGTTAACATGAGACTTAGTGTCTGGGGAGAAAATCAGAATATCATCCAGATACACAAACACTGAAATATTCAAAAATTCCCGTAAAACCTCATTCACAAGAGCTTGAAACACAGCCGGTGCATTGCATAGTCCAAAGGGCATTACTAGATACTCATAGTGACCACTCTGAGTGTTGAATCCTGTCTTCCACTCATCCCCTTTTCTTATTCTAACCAAGTGATATGCATTTCTTAAATCTAACTTGGTGAATATTTTGGCAGTTTGAAGTAGTTCAAAGGCAGATGTCATGAGTGGCAGAGGATAGCGGTTCTTCACCGTAATGTCATTTAGTGGACTGTAGTCTATGCAAGGTCTCAGAGACCCGTCTTTCTTTCCCACAAAGAAAAATCCCGCTCCGGCTGGAGAAGATGAAGGACGGATAATTCCTGATTTGAGTGAAGAGGAAATGTATTCGTCCATTGCTGCTCTCTCAGGTCTCGAAATCGAATAAAGTTTCCCCTTGGGAATGGGGGCTCCCGGTAAGAGATCAATGGGACAGTCAAAATCTCGGTGAGGAGGTAGCGACATGGCTTTGGATTTGTTAAAGGCTTCCTTTAAATCATGGTAACAGGAAGGTACCTTCTGTAGATCAGGATAGTCGGGGTGATCTATAATGATTTTACGAGAGTCTGTTGGTGCATTAACAGGTTGTGAAAGTTTACACCTGCCCATACAATCCTCTCCCCATTCCTTAATTTTCCCTGAACGCCAGTCAATGTGAGGATTGTGGATCTTTAGCCATGGAAACCCCAAAATAATCGGGTGCTGAGCCGACTCAAAAATATGGAATTGCATGCTCTCGGTATGGTCCTTATTCACAGTAATCTGAATGGGCTCAGTGCAATGGGTGACTGTGAACAACAAGCGGCCGTCTAAGGCACTGGCATTAATAGGATGAGATAGCGGAACAGTCTTTATTTCTAGCTGATTTACTACGCCCCAGTCCATAAGACTTTCGTCAGCCCCTGAGTCTATTAACACACCCTGGTCAATGGTTTGATTGTTAATACAAATGTTTACCTGCGTAACAGGTCGAGGAGGAAAGTCTGCGGGAAACTTGCTCACCAGCGCCCTCCTTTTGACTGGTGAGCACGATCTTTTCCCGGGCATGAAGCGAGTTGATGATCCGACTGGCCGCAGTAGAAACAACAACCCTCCCGTAGACGGCGCTGCCTCTCCTCCAGAGAAAGCCTGGTTCTTCCCAGCTGCATGGGTTCCCCGGAGTCATTCGGAAGTGTAATCCTCTGACGGTGTGGTAACATGGGCTGGACATCCTCGGCTGGCGGCGCGACCCACCAAGATGCATTCTGGGAGCTGGGAATAACGTCTCGGTTGCG